CAAACAACAATGCTCGACATGTTCTGAAATAGAAAAACCTCAACAGCTCTGGAACTCTGGACAGCCCACTTCTTTATGAGAGACAGGCCACGGGTGCGACTGGCATCCGCAATCACAACTTTGCGCTGGGAAACCGGATGAAGCAGCCTTTTGAGAATCGGCCACAGAAGGGTAGCAAAGGACCAGGCCTTGGAGTTCCATTCTTGCATATTCTTAGGCTAAGCTGCTGTAGGACTTTATGCTCATGTGGGATCGTGTGGGTATCTTCTTGGGTATAGCGATAGGCACCCTGCAAAGTGAATCCGGCTCCCATACAAGTGTGGAAAAAAGGCAAGTCAGATAGCCCAGCGATGAACGTCGAAAGGAAACAAACTCGCCGGACGGACATCGCAGAATCACAGACAGGCAACTGCATTTACCACCAGGACGTGGTCCAAGGTTTCAGGATACAGGATCACAGTCTGCCTCACGGCCACTAAAAGGAATTCGGTCGCAAATCGAAAATGACCACGTCCAACTCCCCAAAGGTCAACTATCCTCGGGTCTTGCCACTCGTGCCATGTGCGACTTTGCCGCCTTCCAGTGTGACCAGTGCACCCTCTCTCTCTATGTCGGGCATAGGGGTCAGGCTTCCCTGGGATGACGATACTTGCCAGTGAATATAATGTGGTCAGTGTCTCTCTCCTCTCTCTCTCCAGCCTTGCATCTAGCATGAACCGTCTAGCTGCGCATTTCTGTTCCTGAGCTTGCCATATGATCTTGACTTGAGGGCCGGAAACATGGCGAACGACAGCTTTGCTGTTTTTTGTCTGGTGGATGTTGGCCCGGCAGGTCAGTGGGATTTTATTTGCGGAAAAAGAAGAGTAGCAGTAGCAGTAGCAGTAGCAGCATACTAGTACTAGTCATACTAGTAATACCAGCAGTAGTAATACTAGTAGTAGTAGTAGTAGTAGTAGGTAGTAGTAGGTAGTTAGTAGTAGTAGTAGTAGTAGTAGTAGCAGCACTAGTAGTACTAGAAGGAGGAGTCGTAGTAGCAGTAGCAGTAGGAGGAGGTGGAGCTGGAGCTGGAGGAGGCGGAGTGTTGCATTGAGTGGTCTATCCAAGTGCTCACAAGCCACACTTCCAAACATTGGACACATGACACATTGCACAAGCAGCAGTGGAGGAGGCGGCTGCAGATGAGTTCTAAGCTACAGCTTTACTAGCTTTACTACAAAAAAACTCGGCTAATGATCTATCAATTTAGCCTACCCCCTCGCCCTTCCACAAACCAGAGAATACACCTTAAAATTAGGCGCGCCCCTTGCACCGAAAAACAACACGATGAATAATACGCTGGTTTCTGACCCTGGTCTGCATCTCTGCTAAAGCAAGACTGAACTCGAGCCATGCACCACGAGCTTTCGTGACAAGGCTCAGAATGACCCGGTCCACGAGGTGCCCCACTTCTGCACTTGCTCGTGGCACGGTGTGACGAAAAAGGCACTCCTCACATCGGAGGAAGCAAAGAACCGCAGCATTCACCTTGAACGGGGCTGGGGTATGCACATCCAGACTCAGAAGAGTGCACCACGACAGCTGACCCCGTCCTGCGACATGCTATAATGGTAGATCGTGTGCACAACCAGTGCGTAGAGCAGCATCAGTCTCTGGGGGTGCACATCATCTCGGGGAGTTGCACGTAACTGTGCCAAGCTGCATCATCCACGGAGTGCACAGCGCCGGCATTTAACAGCTCACCCATTGCAGAAGGATCTGTACCACCAGCGCGAATCAGAACGACCGGCCTTGCTTCACTCTTGCTTCCAAACATTATTCGGGCATTTAATACAGCCAGTGTTGGTTTGCAGTCGGGACAGGGAATTGCGGCCAAGTCGCTGCCCCCTCAGGCCCAATCCATGGTACGTCTGGGGAACAGTCTCTATGAAGGATGACCATAGCTCGTCCGGAAAACTTGGTCTGTCCAAGATTACGTCCAAGCCCAACCTCACGACGTCAAGCATCTCAGTTACAGTCACCCTGATTTCCGGCTACTCTGCCAGAGCTGTTCGACATGCAGCACCGAGCAGCTTAAGACGCTTCTCTGCACACTGCCGCAGAAGCTTCAAGGCCTCGCCAGAACAAACACAACCTCTTCAACACATGCAATGCGGGGGCATGGGTTATGTCCAATATGCCAATGGTCCACCTGTGTTTGCAAACATGCAGTTGCAAGCCTCTTCGGCACAGAGCCGCCCCGACACGCCAAGCTGTTTTGCCTGCCAGCAAAAGCGCCTTAGCTGTCCTTGCGGGATATGTACTGACTTGCGACTCTAACATCATAACGCCCCCTTTCGAGGAGCTAAGGCACCGCAGCGTTGCAAGCTCATCTCCATGGATCACGATGAACTCCTTTCAGGAAATCCCAGAAGCCAAACATCCAGCAGACACGGTCCGAAATCGGAGGTACCGAGGCCACTCTTCGCCTAATCTGTACCAAGACCCTCCAAGTACCCTCAAATTCGGGTTTTTGGTCCCCAATTACGGGTATTTAGGGTCTAATAAAGGGTACATGGAGAGTCTAGGTACTCTATGTCTGCATGCAAATGTCAAGATGCCTTGGCAACAGCGAGCTCAGGATCGGCGCTCAGAAGCTGCGCAGTCAGCTCAATCTCTTCCTTGCCAGGGCTTCATAGCTTCAGCAGAACCTCAAAAAGCACTTGGAAGGCATGTTGAGGAAGTGTGCTGCGGGTAGGGCAGGCCTCAGTGCATGGCTACATGTCTCTCGCAAAGTTCGATGCCGGTGAATGGCAATGAGCAATGGCTCGACACGTGGGCCCGCCGCTGCTCGCTGCAAAAAGCAAGCCAGGTTCTTGCGGCACTGCTGCATCTAAGGGAGCTGACGAAGAGTGAGGAGTTCTCCTTTCCTCGACGCATGCTGTCTCTGCAACTTGCAACATAATGGACAGTTTCGGCCATTGTCGGCATGGGTCTTGCGGCCCGTGTGTCTACTCTGCTATCTTGCGCATCTTGTCTCTGCGCTGCACAGCTGTCTGTGCCATTGCTGTCATCTAGACTCAGCGCACCTCCCCTGATCTTGCCGATACGGTTCCCCCAGAAGAAACAATCGCTGCGGAAAATGTCCAAGCGGCCTGGGACGGCATAAAATGCCCGAAGTGCGCGTTGACGAGAGGATCATCTGCCAGCATCCCTCCATGCGCTGAAGCTCACGGGGACTCCCAAACACAGCTAATTCCACAACGCCTGGTACTCCGCAGTATAGGCCCTACAAGCTCTTAGCAGATACCTGCGCTGGAAGACGGAGGTCGTCTGAGTTCTTTATGCAACTTCCAAGAGCTCTATCGTGGCTGGAGCCTTAAAGCACAAACAGTTGACAAAGTTTCTGAAGCACCACCCACTCGTGACCAATCTGCTTGCCCAGGCATATGACTGAACTTTTTCGGCGAGTGAGATCGACCTCTTCTGGAAGCATGCCATAGGCCTCACCCACCCGCTGCGGCGTGACGAGTATCACAGACTGAGGCCTCTACGCGGTCAAGCTCCACGATCGTGCACTTTGGGTGTGGTACTCCTCGATGAAACCTCTTGCAGGAACTCAGCTTCGCAAGCAGAAGCATCTCTATTCCAGGAGTAGTGTGGCGATGCTACACTGCTACGGTATGTTGCTTTCGCATGGAAATAGCAGACGGCTTAGATCGCTGTCAAGGGTGAAAAACCTTGTAGAATCCGATAGTCCGGTGACTCGTGCTCGCGCCACAGTGCCGAGTGGTTTGGACCATTTCGGAGGCATCTCTCAAGCCTTACGAAATGCAGTTTGCGTTCCCCCACTCCGCAGCAAACAGTATCTCAAGACAACATTCCGGTCACCATTCTCCGCTCACGCCAGAGCAGCTGCCACGACTCTTCCACGCACAAAAACATCACGACGAGACTCTCCAAAGCCAAGCCACACTTCCACGCGCTGCAACACGCCCCCACACTGAAGCGGAAGCTGTGAATATGCAATGTAGTGTTTGTTCATTCCGTTGGTTACATGTGTCCTCGAATCGGCAGTGCTCACCACCGACGACTCTAACAGACTGGAGGCATCTCGCCCACGGTGCCTGCGCAAAATTCTGCACATCAAAAGCACGTCTACACTGAAGTTCCCCAGCCAGACGCGCACACAGACAGACACACAGACACACAGACAGACAAACAGACAGCCAGACGCGCACACAGACAGACAGACAGACACACACCAAGCAAGACCTTCGGTTCCGTACGGAACAACACCACATCACAGATTACATTCAATTCCACAAGGCACAGCTGAAGCTGCTTGGGCATAGCTTTCAATCCAGGCCCAACTCACAAAAATGAACTGTCGTGTTACCAGTCACTCTGGGGGCAGGAGGAGTAGCTTGGCAGTGACTTGAATTTAAAGTCTTCTAGGAGTCTAGAGCCCTTGCCAAACAGCCATCTTCACTCTCACATCGTGCTGCAGACCGCCAATTTTGGAGTAAACGACTGAAGCAACCAGCATGCAAGACACTGACAAATAGCTCCGACGAGGTTTCTTCGCAGCCTTTAGAGTCTGTAGAGTTGCTGCACCAGAGTTGCATAGGGCCGCCAAAAACATATCGTACTCCACGCCTGTGCAATGCTTCTTTCCAAAAACCGTTATGTTTGGACACAGCATGCCGTCGGAGACCTTGACTCTTCTTGAAGCCGGGCCGTCTAAGGCCAGCACCGTCTGACTTGCACGACCTGCACCAACGTCTCGAATCGGCGTTTGAAAGCCTGGCAGGGGTGGCTTGAGACTGTTGCGTCTTTCATCCTCGCGGCGCGGTGTCGTGACAACTTATGTGTGCCTCCATCTTCATCAAGACCGTGTTGACAAGGATGTCCAATCCTGCAGAACTTGTGCTTCGCATTCCGACGGTGTCATGCCAGGTCACATGTGGCTTGGCACACAACACAAGCATGAGCAAGCTCAAGACTTGGCCTCAAGATGATTGTCACCTCTTGGACTTCTTGGGCTGCAAAAAAGTTCCGGAGCCTGGGAAGCACTGGTGACTTGCGCCAGCAATGTCGGCATACTTCGGCAATCTTAGCCGATGCTAAGGTATGCACTTGACGATACCGGGCGCTTAGGCTTTTTCCTTCCCTGTACGAGTCAGAAGGATTCAAAACTCAATTCACTTTCCTTTCTGCCCCATGCTTGCCAGAACCTTGCCGTGCACGTCTTTGCGGCTGCGGCTTGCTTCCTTTGACTTTGGCGCTCGAGCCGTCTTTTCCTTCGCGTCATTTGCACAGCACTCCGTTTTGTTCTTCTTCGCTCCTTGCCTCTAACAGTCTGCATGTGCTGCCACCTTTGTTTTTTTTTCACACGCTGTTCCCGAAGGCCGAACTGAGGGAGCTCTCTGGCAGGAGCGGCTGCCGAAGAGGCCGAGCTCTGGCGAACGGCCTCAGAAATGCTCGGGATGACCGCTTTCAGCCACAAATGCTAGGCCATCACGGAGGAGGCATGATGTCGCAGAGACTCTACTCTTCGATTCTTCGGAGTAGGCACAAGAAAGTGAAAAGCCGTGGCGAGTGGATTTGCCTTCAAACTCAGATTCAGCCTGCGCCACTATTGCAAGACGCGCTGGGCAATGACTCTAGGGCCATCAGGGCGTCCAGCCTGAAATGCAGCAGCTGCTAAGACCCAGACGCTTTGACAGCGGCTGCCGCTCGCATGACTGCATGTTGGGGCAGCTGGATGCACCTCGGGGGCCAATGAAGGCCGGGACCATGCAGCAACCAAGCGGCTATTCATCTAAAGTGACATTCCAAGTAACCCCACGACCGTCTCTGACTCTAAGAGGTCCTATATCAGAATCAGGAACCCAGCTACCTAAACCCTAAAGCTCGTAGCTGAGAAGGGTCCCCAGGATGCCCCCAGGCATCCTCAGCTCCAAAAAAACCTGAGGTGCGAGCAGACATTGGAACGCAGGAGCTGCGAGGAGAAGGAAGAGCACCTGGTTCACTGGGCCCAGCCACCGGGCGGGCTGGCTTGGATGAACTTCAGCGATTTATTAAAAGGAGAAAAATCCCAGAGTCCTTCTGATCCTCCGACGTCTTGCAAGTCGATTGAACATGCTCCAGCTTCAGTTTTCAAACATGTTTATATTCATGCAGGCAAAGGTTGTCACACACCAGTTGATAATCCTCACCCACTTTGTTTCGAGGTCTTCTGCGGATTGCTGCATGTCTGCTGGGAGAAGTTGGGTTGCAGACCACCGGCGTGATCATGGCCATCCATGTGAAGATGCCGGACCTGCTTTTGCGAGCAAGGCAAGGACCATGTGCCAAAGCTTCGGGTGACCCAGGTCCCGCACCAAACTGGCCCGGCGTCCTGAAGCGGCAGCAGCAGCTGCCTTTGAGCAGCGTGCGACTCGACCCGAGGATGCCCTCTCTTAGCATCTCAGGCCGTCACCAACGGACTTCCGGGGACAAGGAGAGCATGTCCAGAAAGTTTACATTGAGGAGATAGCCGCCCAACAGATATCGTGCTGGCCATTTGTAAAAGTTCATTCTTGCCAGGGGTCTGCAAAGAGATGCCAAAGACAAGGTTTGGATTACGATCAGAAGCAGGCTGGCGAGTCTTGCCACCGAACGCTGTCGCCAAGATAAGTTTAGGTCCTCCTTCTCGATGGCCGACTGCGTGGAGAAGAGCCAGGAGAGGAGACTGGATGCACCGAAAACCCAAAGTCCCCACCAGGGACGTGCTGTCAAAACCAGCCACGAACAGGTAGAATTGCAACGCACTGCCGCGGCGTAGAGCACTGCACATATCAAAACCTGTCCGAGGTGAAGCACATTGAAGCACTCTGACCGCGATGATATGCTTTGCCAGTATCTGCTGCAAGGCAATACGAGGCTTACACATCTTACATAGCGCATGTCGTCTGGGTTCGGGATGTTTCGGGCTGGTTCACTCTCCTAGTTTTGGAAGGAATCACAGCTTTTCGCTCGATCTCTTCTCTGTTTGGCACGGGTTTTTTGGGCCCTTCGGCTGGCCAAGCAGTGTGATGTTTCGACTCGCTGCCACATTGCTGTTCAAACCCGGGCTGCCTTGCACAGCAGGACCGTTCCGAAAAAGCCTGTGCCTTGCCTCCTCCCAAAACCTGGCCACGATCATCTTACCGCTCCGGCCTCCTACAATCGCTCCGAAACTCGGGTCACCACAAACTGTGGCAAGCTTCGATGCCAGGTTGCGCCTACATGTTGGCACCGTCCGAACACGCAGCCCCGAAAGCGACCCATCGAAAGAGTTCAAGGCATGTGCTTTATGCTATGAGCCGTAACCTTCTGAGTTCCGAGCCTTTGGTGTCAAGACACACGCTTGGCACGTCGGCCACCAGTCCGTGGGCAAGACATACTCACCGCCGTAACCGCATAAATTCTCGAAGCAAAAGGGCACGCTGATGTAGGCAACAGCAATCAGGCCCAGCGCGGCAAAGCTACCTGGATCAACCAGGGCCCAGGGTTCGGAAACGTGAACATGCCTCTCATGCAGAACTGACCTTCAAGCCGGAAGAGGAATGTAGCTTGGCTTGGCTTTGTTTCTTGGTCGCAAGACTACAGTACCAGGACCCTCCAAGTACCCTCAAATAGGGGTCTATGGTCCCACATTAGAGGGTAGATGGAGGGTCTAGGTATGTGCGCATTCCGCAGATTTCATGTTGCTTGCCGCCTCTTCGAGGCCTGCGCCGGCCTTCAAAGCTTATGTTTTGTCCGAAAATGAGTCATGTGCAGCTGAGGCGAACGACCAGGCCTGTGAGAGTTACAGTAGGGAAGGTTTAAGATGTTTGCGCTTGCATGTGCAGATGTTGCATGCTATGTCTCGCTTCAGCCGCTGGTCTTTGACCACGCTGACCTTGTGGTGTGTAGCATCAACTCACAACATGCGCCTGGTCAGAATGCGGCCCGAGTTGTTGATCTTACATGCCGACTCAAAGGCTCGAGCGTGTGAGGACCCTCAGCCGTTAGAAGCGAGAGTTCGACAGTTTGGGTTTGGAGCAGGCAGCTTACAGTCAAGACAGAGCAGCTCAGCATCCGCACCCTGACAAGACCATCCGAGAAGACAAGCAAAGCACATTGAGTACAAGGTGGACCCTGCCCCAAACCGTCCTACCGTCTTAGCCCCACGCTGCCTTTACCGCACCATGTGTCCAACACCAACGCCGCCTTGCCGATGATCAGCGAAAGCAAAAACCATCTCTGAATAGTCTCCGCATGGAACACGATGCTGCTCCAGGGTTCCGAGAAGAAAAGGGACAGGAACATCGGCAGAAAGCCTGGTGCATCGGGCATTGAGGTGCCGCTACATTCAAGCTGACTTGAAGCCGTCGTTCAACCTCTGCTATCACGTCCGTGTCTTTCAGGAGTACCCTGTTCTGTCCGTGTAGCAATGTGTAGCATCAGTGCCAGCTACCCTGGGTCCTGGGTTCATAACACCGGACGTGGATTTGTGAACCCTCCTCGAACCAGAGAGGCTTCACACCCGAAGGCCAACGAAATCACCCTCAAAGATCCCGAAAGCCTGGGATCGGCAAGATTGTGGAGTGCAAGCTACTGCCCCAGTCAGTATAGGAAAAGCACCCCTGGTAAGTGTACCGCTCCTTAACTACCCCTGATCCGACTGAGCCGCACCTGCATAAAAGTACAGGGCCAAAATCGCGGCATCCCTCTGCGTGAAAGCCGACCGTTCGCTGGACGTGTGCGCAGCAGCCGCGAAACAAAAGACACCATAAGCCCAATCTTGGGTCGCGAGCCGATAGGTAAACGAAGTCCAGCTGGGCACCGGCAGCTTCGGCATGGTCACCGAGTTGTCCGCAGGCTCACCAGGGGCCGGAAGTTGGTACGTGCGAGGCTCAATCAAAACGCACCAAAACCAATGAAAGAGGACGACATTCACCATGCCGATAACAGCTAGGCAATCCCATAGATTGTAGAGCTGCATTGTCTGTCGGCTTACAGCCCGAGCAAAACCCAGGGAATCCAGGTACTGGACCATGGCATGGACACCTGAAGAAGGATAGGCTCAAGGCTCAAATGGTTCCAAGATTTCAATGACAGGTATGAGGGCGCGGGGTTACAAGCTCGGCATCTGATGAACCAAACCACCCGGCGCATCGGGCACTGTTACAACACTCCTTCACTGCCCCCAACGCACAATGCCTATGTTTCTGTAAGTTGGAGACTGGTTTCAACACTGAGGTGGCCCTGGTCCCCACCTTCAGCCAGTGCATCTTGTGCTTGTGCTCGCGTTGCAAGTCCCCTGGTCTGCTCCCGAAGGCTTTTGCGGTCGACTTTCTGGCTTTCCAGGCGCGGCAAGGCGGAAATCTTCAGGAAGTGCAAAGGCACCATGCACTTGGGCAGCTGCTCTGCCAACTTAGGAGGCAAGTCTTGAGCTCCTACCCTGCAGTTGACCAGAAAAGCAACCTGAGCCAGTCACGCACAGCAAACGATACATGCACCATTCAAGGATCTCCTGCAAGCCATACCTGCCACGGCACAAGCGTCTGTTCGTCCTCTGCCGCTTGAACCACTGCCGCTTCCCGACAGAAGAGCGCCAAAGCGGCCTCGATCTCTGCCAGCTCTATCCGCACGCCGTGGAGCTTGACCTCACAACCGTGAGCCCTTCAAGAACCCGACTGGCTCGTTCCGGGAAATACCAATATACCGTAGTTACTCAGTAATTCTCACTACCTCGAACCTGAAAGAAGCTAGTCGTTGAGAATCACAGCAATCTCATGCAGCAGCAGTTCTTATAAAAGCGGGTTACTCAAAAACAAGTGGAGTGGTCAAATCATGCTCACCTCTAACACTTGGCTACCTGGTTGTCAATGCGCCCGCAGACTTCCAGCTCCTGGCCGTTCCATTTCCCAAAATCGCCACTCTGGAAGGCGGCTCGGCCGTTCACCTGGCCGGCACGCATGGCTTCTTTGCACCCCTGAAACTTTGACCTCCCCGGCCTGCCGGAACTTCTGCGCTGTAAGCTCGGGCATGTTCAAATAGCCGCGGAACATAATGCCGCCAAACATGACTTCCCCCTGAAGGCCACTTCTGCCTTCTCCATCACATAAAGTTACTTCTATCGAAGGCTGCGGTTGTCCCACGGGGGCTGTGGCACTTTGTGGCACGGCACGGCACCGCCATGTCGTCATGCCGGTCTCTGTCAAGCCATAATAGTTGCTCAGATGGAGGGATGCTTGCAAGGCCTTGCTGCAAAGACTCCGCGGTAGTGGCTCTCCAACGGCTACGACGTGCTTCAGCAGAATACAGGACGAGAGATGCTCCATCATGTGCATCAAAACTGAAGGCACGCCAGCGATGACGCATATGTTATAGTCGCGGATGGCATCGGCAACGCCGGTCAACTGTTTCTGAAACCCGTCCGGCGCGATAAAAACACAACCTGCCAGACAAAGCGCAGGGAACATTTCGTACTCGGCAGTCCTCCACTGGTAGGGCGTTTTCCAAAGAAGGCTGCGGCAGTTGTTTTCGCCGAGATCTGCGGTGAAACAGCTCACCGAGTGCCAGAGACAACGATGGTCGCACACCACACCTTTGGGTCGTCCAGTCGATCCGGACGTGTGAATCACCATGCATATTCGGCTGGGATCAGGGATGCCCTCGCTCTGCAGGCTGATGCTGCCCAGATCGGCAGGCACAAAGGATCTGTCAAGCAGGCGGACGGCGGGGCCAGAGCTCAAGCTCAAGCCGTCCTCCAACTCACGGTCTGCGTCATCAGCTAGAACGAGACTTGCATCCGAACACAGCATAACTCGACGCTGCAGTGGCGCATCTTTCGGCACGGGAATGTAGGCACCGCCAGCTTCCCAAACGCCAAGAACTGCTGCAAGAGCAAGCGCCGAGCGGTTCAGGAGCAGAGCCACAAGCACTTCACCGGTCTTTGGCACTGCGGTGTCGTGCAGGATTTGCCCTGCTATGTGCTTCGCCCATGCCAAGACTTCCCCATACGTGAAGGTTCTGCAGACCTGAACAGCCGGAATCCCATGCACGACAGGGCACTTCGCCATTTCTCTGAGCAGCTACTTGTTTCGACTCTCAAAGGCCTGGCCCTCTTTGCTCAACTCGGCAGCGGCATGGGCATGCCTGGGAGCGCGTCGCACATGCTCCAGGACACTACCTCAGAATCTGGCTTTCTGGCGTCAGCCAAGACCAGACCAGACGATTCCGGCCCTAGACCCGAACCGATCAAACAGAATTACACACAGAGACACACACGCACACAGAGACACGCGCACAGGAACCCTCAGAGCAACGCAAACTTCCTGCTGGCTGGAAGCTACAGAGAGGAGCAGACAGTAAATTTTGTTCGAACCAAACATTAACTCTTGAGGTGTAGTTGCTCTGAAAGTTCAGGTCCACGCCCGACATTGGCAGAAGCGGAATGCGTTGAGACAGTGCGGAGCTTCTATCACTCGCTGATTTTTGCACACGTACGCTGCTCATGTATGCACGTACACGATCGGCAGTGGCACGTGACATGTAGAAAGATCCAGGACCCTCCAAGTACCCTCAAATAGGGGTATATGGTCCCAAATTAAGGGTATTCAGGGTCTAATAGGGGGTAGATGGAGGGTCTAGGATTGTCAGCTGACTTCTCGGAGCCTGAATGGGCCATTGACAGTGTCAGACTCGACAGCGCAGCTGAAGGCCATGCAAAATCATGCTGCCAGTCCTTCGGCTTTGTCTTTTTCTTGGGCTTCCTTTTCCTTAGACTCCGCTATTTCAAGCCACCTGAAATCTTCAGCTATTTTCTTCTTCCCCCGTCTTGCTATGTGTGTGACCTGGACATGGTAGTGCCAGAGCCGGAGTCGGAGTCCTGGCAAAGCAACTGCAGCGGATGTTCGTGACTTTCGGAACCCTTCGCTGATTGAATTTCAGAGACACATGAAGGTGCAGAATTCTCGAATTATCTCACGTTCCGTGGCACCTTCTGTGCCTTCTTCTTTTTCTTCTTTGCTGCCAGATTTGAGTCCTTAGGCCAAATGTCGCCGCTGAGTCACCATCCCCTGCCCTCATCTCCGGCTGAGGCAGCGCACACTTGGACAGCTGGAGCTTGAGCTTCCGCCTTTGCCAAGAAACGAACACTCTCTCTCCACCGAGAGTTGTACCTCCTCGTAACTTCCCCATCGCCGTCCCTGTAGCAGTGGTCTTTGACAAGACCGTTAAGGGCTGTGCCGTCTTCGGAATCGGGTCCAGCACGCCGCACCTCACAAGGCGGGCAGCTATGCACAGACTGAGGACAACTTCCACCCCATCAGTGAGTCCGACTGCCAACAAGTGCTGCTAGCACCCCTGGGGAGCAATAAGACACCCTGCAGAAGGAATGCTTCGACTCCATTTCAGTCGACGAGGAACCTTGGCTTGCATGGCTTCTTGCGCTGCGGCATAAGCCTCCCAGAAACTTCGAGAGGAGGCAGAGTTGACGCTAGCAAATGCCGGCCGCCCCGCTGCCTTGGCTTCTGCCTGTGCACGCGCTAGCTCTGCGGCCTTGTGAGCTGCGACCTCCGAGCCACGCCATGGACAACTCCGTAGCCTTCTTAATGTAATATAGTATAATATAATATAACATAAGATAATCTAACGCAATATAATACAATACAATATCATATAACATAACATAATATATGATTGCTGTGCATGCTCCGGCCTGCTCGGCCTGAAGTGCTGCAGCCTTCTGCAATGCAGCCAACTGCGCCTGGAATGCCCATTCAGACCCTCCTTTCAAGCTCTCCGCTCTTGCGCAAGCGTAACTTGGCTCTGATGGCAGTTCACGAAGCCATTCAAATTGTGAATGAGCAGCACAACCGGCAAAACTGATGTTGCTTTTGAAACTGGAGCTTCCACTGCGCGATGCACGAAGCGCGGCATAATGTCGCAATAACATTCGGTTGCCATCGTTCGGTCATTCAGCCTTGAGCCACTCACTACTGTAGTATGAAGCATGAAGATGGTTGTTGTCGCGTGACTCCCCAGTTCTGTTGACTTCCTGTTACAGCTCTCTGCGAGCTTCAACATAACATGGATTGTCCAGTTCAAAACAGTACAACTAGCTGACTAGCTGTTACACAATGACAGTGCCCCGGTTCCCAGTATCAACGGTGGTTTCGAACGGAGAGGCAGAGACACGAATAGATGCATATTTCCTTCTACCTATTGTGTATGCCTACATGTTACATGGACATATATGCACGTAGAGTAGCTCGAACTGAGCTCGTGTAGTGTAAGCAAAGTTGCTGCAAGCAAGTGCCCCACCTCTGCTGCAGATTGCTTGGACTCCTCCTCTTCTCGAATCTGCAAAGACTGTGACGTCCCATGTCAACACAGATTTGGGGGTTTCCGAAAATAAGGGGGTACCTTAATTTTGGGGTCCTTATAATGAGGATCCTACTATTTAGGGTACTATGTTAGGGTCCCCTATCTTCGGAAACCCCCATTTGGGGCTGAACTTCGCTCGGCCAAGTCTCCGGCCACCCACTTCCAGCCGCTGCCTTCGTGGGCCTTCGGCGCTGTCTTGCCTCCCTGACGCGCAACACCGAAACGACAATGTGTCGACTCACAACTCACAAAACTATCAAGAAGGCGAAAGGGGTCGGTTCTGTCTCAGAACCTTGAACCCACATCTCTCACATCTCATGCCACCGTGCCGGGATTTTAGCTTGGTCCTCGCTTCGCCTCGAACTGGAGCAGCGACTGAGTCTCCCCAATGACCCGCGCTCGCTGTCCTCAATCGGAACCCCGGGTCGGAACTTAGCGGACGCCGCACGAAGCATGCCTGAGACGTCTGCCCTTGAGGCATCCGTACTTGGCCTTCAACATCTCGACGACGCCTCTCTGCCACACCACTGCTGCTGTCGACTGCAGTCTACAGTATCCAGATGGCAGAAAAGTGGCATGGCACCCAGCTTTTCGAACGAGCGAGACTAGATTCAGTGAACTACGAGTCTAAGGCTTCGAAGATGTGATGTGAAACAAGCAATTCGGAATGCATGCACTTCCAACATCTATTCTAGACGCGGTCCGTCGAAAGATGGCAAACGGCAGGTGGAGATGCGGGGTACATGGGCTTGGTCCTGGTGCACCTTATGCCGAGGACTTCGGCGCATCTGTGGGGTCATATGACAAAGGCGTGCAGGAGCCGTCGCCCTCTTCGGAACAAAGAGAAGGGCAATGCTAAGGGAAAAAAAAAGGTGCCGACAAGCAGAGCATAAGAGCACAATGGGAAGAGGAGGAGCGAAGCTAATAGAGACTCATTCGATACGTCTGCTTATCGGATGTCATTCGTTTCAGAAAACCAGCCGACAGGATGCTTCGGCACCTGAAGCCCTCCAGGTACGAATGCTGCTTCGGCAGCAGGTACACTGGTCGAGCTGCATCCTATGGTTCTGTCATCGCTTAGCGTGGACTGAAGGACTTCCTGCAAGCCGCAGGTGTCTATCGCATTAATTTCGAATTCAACTTTCAGGGTTGGTCATCAATGCCGTCGGTCTTGTCTCTTCGATGACGACACAGGCAATGATAAACAAGACGTAGAGGACAGCCATGCATCCGCCGAGGAACTTGTTGAGCTTCCATTTGCTAATCATGATGCTCACCACCGTGCCGAAAACCATTGCTAAGAGCAAACAGGTGTAGAACATGAGGAACGGCGACCTGAGTCTCTCGCATTCTCTCCTGGCTTCTGCGACATTTTTCAGCAAGTTTGGGGCAGGGTCAGCCTGATTAGGCCTTGCCAAGGGGCCTGATGAAGACGCCTTGGAAAAGAGGGTTGTTGGCTTCGATGGCGCTTTTCAACAGCCAGGGAACTGGAAGCCCAACCTCAGCTTCTCAGATCTAAAGTATTCTTGCGCTTTGTTCCACAGCCAGTGCACCAGCTCTTAGCCAGGCGACGAGGATATCAAAGATGTTGGATCCGACCGATGAACTCACGGCCATGTCAGCTTGGCCTGCGCGCGATAGTTGGAAGACACGGACAGCTGAGAAACAAGGTTTAGGGTTTAGGGTTTAGGGAATAATGCTTGATTGCGGGTAGATGAAGCCTGGATTTATGCTATGCGATGTCACAGATTGTTGACAAGTTTTTGTCTTCCTGGCAGCACTGCCCAAGTGCCTTTGCGAGCCACAGCCATGGAGCTCACTGCATCCGGGATGGAGGTTGCGGCCGCCAGGAACGTCAACCCAGATATAATGGTTGGAATCTGCAGCCGGCAGTCTTTCATGTTGCTTTGAAATCATGACTAGCTTGAAACGTTGCATGCGCTGAGGACCCCGCCCCAATGACTGCTGCAACCTCGTCTCTGGCAGTGTTAAAGGAATATGCTAGTCTGCGAATGAGCTCCTATATCACGTTTTTCTGTTGTGGTCTCCTACAGTTTTATACGGTGAGACGTTCTTCGAATCGCTAGGCCTCAGTCATCATAGCTTCGAGTTACTCCAGGCGTAAGTCACTGCAGGCTTGGGTCACACGAGGCCCATCTGGTCCGCGCCTTAATAGTTAGAATAGGGTTTGGGGTAAACTATACTATAAATATGATAAGGAACCCCCCAAAACCCTATTCTAATTATTAAGGCCCCATACATTAGTGGCCGGGCATTTGAACGCAGGCGGCCCACGTGCAGAAGAAGCACTTGGGCATGGCATACACATGACGTGGGTTTGATGACTCTGGTGGTCGTGTTCGCTCACGGAAGCCTGGGGCACTGGAGGAGGTTGGCCCATCATTTGTAGCCAAAGTCCGGAAGTAGGCGACTCCCTTTGATGATGGCAGTGGGCTCCCAACTCCCGCGCGGCCCCCAACGATCGAATGATCGACTGATATGATACCGTCACGATTCAAGCACAATAAATGCGGGACTTGCCTAGGCTGTCTGCAATGTACAGATGTAGGCTTGTTAGAGTTGCTGTGGAAAGCCTGCGTTTTGCACGCTGGGCAAAGGTGATCCAATGAGCTCTTGGGATCGAGCCATTATAACGTGAAAGTGAAACTTGAAGCTGCGTATGGCCCGAAGCAATCAACATCGCGGACAGTCTTCGGAGAATGCTCGTAGCGCAGGTCACAAACCAAAGACTTCTTACAAACCACATGGACAGTTTGACTGAGGCGGAAGCGGTCTCGGTCCACCAGACCAGCAAGAAGGCAAAGCCACCAATCCATATCAATGCCAGCCCGAATGTGACCATATATAGCTTCGAGCCCTTGGCAGGCCATGGCCTCAGAGATCAGCTCCCAGCTTCCTGATGCGCTACCTATTACGACGCAGGCTCAGCCGTCTCCTTGAGCAGGTGTTAAGAGAACACGAAACTGAGGGCGCGACAGCGTGAAGTAGAGCGGCACGTAAACCGGCAGGCTCAAAACCCAGATGATGGTGCTAAACATTCCCTCCGGACGTTCCATGAAGTCATCCGGTCCGTCATCGTCCTTGCTAGTACAGTCACTCTGTGTCTAAAGGATTGCGGAGAAAGGTTGAGCACTTTCTGCCAACAGCTCCTCATCATCTTCGCCGTCCCCTCCACCATCCTTGCCATCGTCCTGTCAAATCGAGCTTCCTACTTTCGCACTGGAATGCAAACTGTCCATGGAGAAGCGCGCCAGTCCTTCCCCATGCCTTTCTCGTCCTTGAGCTTGCCCTCCAACAGATCTTCGGGCTCCTTCCCGTCGTCGTCATCAAGGGGGGTGGTTTTGACAACGACCTTATCCGGCTCCATGTAGTTGTCCTGCACATACAGCAGGACTCTCTGATCTGTACAACGCAGTGAAGAACACGGGCATTCTGCTGGGCAAATGGCCTGAACATATGTCGGGGACCCTACTTGGGAGGAGGCGACGAGAGATGTCGAGCTTTGAGGGCCCACCAACAAGGGTCTTGGTAAGCACTTCCGCAACCTCGTGACACGTACTCGGTCCTTTGCAGGCTTTGGCGGCTCGTCGGATGGCTGAGCTGCTGGGGCAGCTTCCTCTACTGCCTCCAGCGGCTCTACCTTGTTGCTGACCTTCTGCCTCTCCTGCAGCCAGAGGAAATCGGAAAGCACTGCACCGCCCGTGCTCCTTGGAGGATCTGACATGATCTGACTATCTATGAGCGGCTCCTGCACATAATCCCTGAGCTCTTTGTTCAGCGGCGTACCGGTCATCTGGTACCTTGCTGCATCTGGATCCCACGGGACCCTTCTGCATCTTGTCTCCATGGATCCGAAAGGGGACGCAAGCTTAGGCTTCCAGTTTAGGAGAGGGCGCAAAAGCTGCTCTTTGCTTCACTCTGCGACGACTGCATGGTGGCCTAGGAGGGCCTACAATGGCCGTCCTAACCTCCTTGTCCACGTCATGAGTGTATCCGCGTGTATCAGCCGTGCTTGTCTGTAGCTCTGCTGGTACTGAATCAATGTGGTTCAGCCAGGAGGGCTCGAGGTGCTTCCTCTCAAAACTGTGTCTGCATGGCAGCTCTTGACGATGAGGATTCTCGGCTTATCTCAGCTTCACCCGAAAGTATACGACTCTACAAGTAGGTCCTAAGTTTTCTGCCTGGTGTCTCCTGCAGCGTTTTGCTGGAGAGGCCTCTGGGCGCATCCCTCCGTCTCCGGTCCCTTTCCAATACCATCCAAGATGCGCCCAGACGTTCAGGGGTCGGTTGACCAGCATGAAACCCACGTAGATGAGATACATTCCAAAGAGTATCCCGGCCTTACGCATCGGTCACGTCAAGCAGCAGCTCGGCTACTCCGTCGTCCCACCTCCCACGGCTTCACATACTGGTCCGACACGAAAGCAGCCAGAACTGCCAGGGAGACAATGTAGTATGAGCAGTCCTGCACCAATTTGTCGCTGTGTCGGCCTGAGTCCTCAAGCCTTGTGCCTTGCTGTGATTTGCTGTTCTGCCAACCGACTGAAGCCCAGTCCCTGAAGAGAGGCCACCATGTCAGATCGATGTTCCCTTTTGCTACCCAGCCACACCTCAGCGGGGGGGGCCACAGACGCAGAGCGGCCAAACTGGCTGTCTGACTGGGACTCGGACAGGCCAACTACGAACAGGACGTTGAACACGGCAGATCCAACGATAGTGCCGAAGCCAATGTCATTTTGGGCCTGGGCATGGAAGGCCGGCGCAGCACATCCAGTGCACTGTCACAACAACGCTTCTGATGAGAACTGGTAAAGCAACATCATCAGCGGAGAGGCCATGGTTGCACCAATTATGGAAGTGAAGAATTCAGGAGCTGATCCCCCAGCAGCCATCCAAGTTGCCTGAAAGCGTATTGCACTTCCCCACATGGGCGTCCCCTTATCTGCTCTCTGCTGCTTGGCTACACCAGCCACATCAGGGGTCAAATCCCAGGCGTCGCAAAGAAGATCGATGGCACCGGCAAAGTAAACGTCGCAAACAGTGTTCAGTCCCAAAACCATGTAGGCCTCAGAGCGGCGGAGCACTTTTCAGAATTGACGCCGCCCAGGCAGCAAGCTGCGGCTTTGCGGTTCTGCCGTTTGCCTCTTGGCCTCCGGCAATTCCGATCACATGGAGCACTGCCAGGGCCTTCCTTCCTCGGAACGGTTGCTTTCTGCTTGGGGGGACTTTCTTTCTCAAGAAGGCCAAGGCCAGGCCTGGGGGCTCCTCGAAGTAGGGCTGGTTCAGCAGGAGGTCCGGCGGTGGGTAAAAATTGCCCTCCTGAGGAACCGTGGGGGCCGGGAAGGGTTCGGGCTCCCATGCTCCGATGTGCGTGAAAAGCTGCCGCCGTCGTGGTCGTCGCTGTGGTCGCTGTTTGCAGTCTTCTTGGCAAGCCTGGGGTATGTCGAGTCTCTTGGGGGCTAAAGGGCCGAGCAAAACCGTTCTGACACGGCCTGTCGCCGCAGCGAAGAGCTCTTCCGGATCCTGCCAGGCGAGGCCCGCTAGGGCTCACAAGCTCTTGGCGTTTCTGCCGTCCTCTGCATTGAGCGACAGCAGGCCAAATATGAGACCGAATCCTGCCCAACGGCCGGCGAAAAGCACACGAAAAGATCTGAAGATCAAGGCAAACTCTGAATCGAGCTGCTGTCCAGAATATCATATTATATGATATAATATAATATAATATGATGTAATTTTATAATATAGTATAGAGTCTCATACTGAGCCAAGGAGCCCAAGGCCGAGAAGAAGCTGATTTTACGCTGAAGATCTGGACCCAGGATGCGGACCTCGGGAGCTTCTGCCCGTCTTTAACTGAGACCCAAATGAGCGCAGCTTCAGGACCTTCTTGCTCAAGCGCAAGCGGCCCATCCCTTCTATGCTGGACCTTGGAAGTACTCATGCACGGCCATGCACAGCTTTTCTCAAAAAACTTGCACAATGTGGTCAACAAAGCCGACTCCGGGCAAGCGCACCCGGAAAAGGTCTGTGCTGCTGCCGCCAGGTGCGGAACTCTACACGACTCAGGATTTCCTATGTGCTTTCTGGCTGGGTGGCTGGTGTTTGCAGGCTGAAGGACTGAAACTTGGCCCTCACAAAGCTTTCAGCTGCTGTGGCTTGGCCACTCTGCGAGCCATGGCACCATGCACAAAAACGCGGGGAAACAGTTGAACTTGCAAACACTTTGTGGGTGGCCGGAGCAGATGCTCAGGGACTACTGATGCAATTCGCTTGACTCTGGAATAGCTGCATGTATTGTCTATCTCCGTGCATGTCCTTTTTATCCTTGTTCAACAGCTTGGAGCATGCACGACAGCTCGGCTGAGCTGAGTTTGGCGAGAGTGCTGCGAAAACACCGATGCGATGCGGGGCTTTTGGTGGCCAATCCGGCCTCAGCCCAGAATCTTGAACCTCACGCCTGTATGCGGAACCATTGTAGGAACCGCCTGCATCGTCCGCATCGTTTGATGAGGTCGATACGGGGAAAGGATGAACTAGCACAGGAATGGCAAAGGCATCAGTTGATCAGAAAAAAAACCTGGACGATTGAATGCCTAGCATATACTAGCAGAAGGCTCTGCAAAAACCTTTTCTGAAAAAGAGGCCGGATGCCTTTGAGGCCGGGAGACCGTGCTCCCACATCATTAAGGTTTATTTCCAGTTTAAACCTGGAGAGCCTGGACACTCTTCTCCGAAGTCGTGACCAGCTCCGCTTACCGGACTTTGCTGCTTTAGTCCCATGGTCCCTATGGAGACGCTTCGATGTCAGCCGAAGTGAGCTTCTTGCCACAAGCACATTGCTGGCAATCAGCTTGGATTCGTCATCAGCCAAGTTGGCCGCGCCAATTCCACTGTGATCGTAGTGACAATAAAGACAAAGTACAAGAAAGCCATGCAAGCGCCCAAGGCTTTCTGCAGCTTCCAGCCGCAAATCTTGATGCTCATAACCGTGCCGAAAACCATGCCAAGGAGCAAGCAGGTGTAGAACATCAAGTAGGGCGACTTGATGGGGACACCCCGGAAGTCAGGATTACCAGACTCGATCCCGCATTTCACCAGCCAAGGGATTGGCAGCCCAACCTGGAAGCTGGAGCTGACTCTTAGAGTTGCTTTTCTTATTTCGTTTCTGAGACAAGGATGTAACCGGGATGGCGTGGCTGCAGGAAGAGCTTTCTCTCGCTGGTCGTAATTGGGTCCTGAAGCCCTCACTCATGATTCATCTCTCGCCTAGGTGCCATTCAACCCGTCCCGAGGTTTCTTCAACTTGGTCTGATGATTTGTCTCGCTGTTCATTCCCGGCAGTATTCTCAGAAAGCTGAGCACCTTACTTCAAGCCAGTCTTAGCGCCCCACGCCCCGCTGGCTTGTTCCAAAGTTACATGTGCGACATGTGAGCATTTGTTTCTTTTTAAACCTGCTTCTTGAGTCTCGCCCATGGAGTCAGTCTCTCTGCGATGAAAGACTGCTGGACATTCAAGCTTCTCGACATGACGATTTAGTTGGCCCGGCCAGCGGACGAAACGAAGGAGTCTGTCTGCCAAGCGGCCAGGATGTCGAAAATGTTAGAGCCAACAGATGAGCTGACTGCCATATCTGCCTGTCCTAACAAAGCCGCAGAAGCATGCACAGGGTTAGGTTAGCAACATGCTGCAAAGGAGGGTGCTGGCCTTTGCGGGCAACAGCCATGGAGCTTACAGCATCAGGTATAGATGTCGCTGCGGCCAAAAACGTGGCGCTGGAGACGATGATGGGGATCTGCAGGCAAGGGCTGTTCATTCAAGCTGTCAGCCCAAAGCTCCACACCCAAACATCCTACCCATTGAACCTCTGACTGTGGAAGGAGGCGGTTCTACTACTGGTAGTTCGAGTTTTTGACTCCACGACTGCGATCAGCTGAGACCGGGGTCCCGGCTGTCAGTACCCCTGCGACCTCAGCACAAGGTATGTGTCTGTAATCTTTTCGAAGATGCAGAAGACTCAGAAGCACTGGACTTGCTACATCACTCGAGCTCTGAAGTGCTTGCGGCAAGCAGTGTCGGTCCACCAGACCAGCAGGAAGGAAAAGCCGCCGATCCAAAGTAAGGACAGGAAGAAGGTCGCAAGAAACCACTTGGAGCCTTGGGATGGCCAAGGCCTCAGAAGCAATTGCAAGCTATGGGAAGTTCAGGAACGTCTGTTAGGCCGTCGTCTCTCGCAATCCACACTTCCACGTCTTGCTTCAACATGGCGGGGCACTCGAGCTTTTTTAGGAAGGTGCTGCGGCTTCGGTCTCAGGTGAGGGTTTTGGACATTTCTAGCGCAGGATAGCTCAAGCGGCATACCTTCAGGGCCACTCCCCCAGGATTCGCCTCGAGGTCGCACACTCAGGCCGTGGCAGTGTGTAATACAAAGGAATGTAGACGGGCAAGCAAAGGCCCCACAGCACGCGCTCGAGAATACCTTCAAAGGCAGCAGTGCATTTCAGGGGCACGTCGCTGAAAATATTCAGGAACCAGATCCTGCCTTCAGGCATGATCATGAAGTCCTCCGGCTCATCGTCGTCCTCGTCGTCTTCGTCGCCGTCTGCGTTTGCATCCTGCGCGACATGTTGAGCAGTTTGGCTGGAACAGTTGCACTGCAGTTGCGGTCGGCTTGTCGGACTCGTGGAAAGCAGGTTGCCTTGTCCCCCGCTTTGGCCAGCTCAATGTCTGTTTTGCCATTGTCCTTAGTCGGCATACCGCAGCTATTCGCTATTTTGCAGGGAGGAAGCATGCATCTTGCTCAAGAGCGGCCGTTCCCTTCTTCACGACGGTGTCAGACTGCATGTAGTTGTCTTTTGCCTCTCTTGTCTCTGGCTCCTCAACAAAAGGAGTGCCAGCATCTTTCTCGTGGGGAGATGCATGACAAGCTCAGGTGAACAGCCTGCATCTCCGGTGTATCTTTCTCGGTGCTGCTTCCAACTTTCTCGGGCTCCACCTTGCCCTTTGCTTTATTCATCTCCTCCACGTACTCCCGCAATTCCTTGTTAAGTGGAGTTCCGGTCTTGCGATACCTTGGCCAATCGATGAACCTATTGAATGGCCTCGTTACAACAACCATGGGAGCAGCAGCACCATCAGCACCGCGGTGGGGGTATTCCCAACTGAGTGACTAAGTTGTGGAAGCGCAAGGCGAAGGAGCAGGAATAGTAGCAGCAGCAGTCGCAGCGACACCAAGTAGGGCCTCGTTGTAGCAGTAGTGGTAGTAGCCGTAGCAATTTAAAGGTACTAGCACATGAAATCGTCACACCGCAGTGGTAGAAGTAGTACGTAGTCGTAGTCGTAAGGGGAAGCAGTGGCTCCGTCTTGGAGGAAGTGAAATAGGAAGCATCAGAGAGCCTCCCGCCGCTCAGCAACAGCAGCTTGTGGACATAATCTCGAAACCTCGGCACGAGTGGCCTTTTTCTCTGCGAGCGTTGCACACAACATTGCCCTGGAGGGGCACAAGCATATTATCGCGGCCTACTTTGCGGCGAAGGAGGAGGAGCGTCGCGCACTTCAGCGCATGGGGTTCCGACTGGGATTTCATGGGACTTCTGCGAGTTTCTCTGGCGGCGGGTCGGGCATGGGCTGAAGAGAGCCGGAACATTGGAGCATTCCCAACGGGCGCAACTAGCATGAGTTTGCGTGCCGCCATAAAAGGGTGCTGCCTATGGCTGGCCGAGCTTTACCTTGCTCGCCATTCCCGACGCGGATCCCTGCATGTTCGTCGTGACTGGACGGAAGGAAGGAAGTAGAAGTAGCCGGTGCTATACTGGTAGTGGTAGTGGTGGTAGTGGTAGTGGTGGTGTTGGTAGTACGGGTAGCAGTAGTAGTAGTAGTAGTAGTAGAAGTAGCAGTAGCAGTAGCAGCAGCAGTAGCAGTAGCAGTAGCAGTAGCAGTAGCAGTAGCAGTAGCAGTAGCAGGAGCAGTAGCAGTAGCAGTAGTAACTTAGTAGTAGCAGCTGTGGCGGTGGTAGTCGTAGTCGGCGTCGCTGTAGTAGTCGTGGCCGTGGTCGTGGTACAGGGTAGCGTTACAGTAGCAGCGGCGGCATCTGCAGCAGCAGCAAGCAGCAGGAGGAGTAGTAGCGGTGGTAGTAACGTAGAAAAAATGTAGTAGGCGGGAGCAGTACAGTAGGAGTAGCACAAGCTGGAGCAGCCGTCCCTGAAAATCTCCCCGGGGTGTCGTCGGCGTCGATCGTCCGAGCTGCTGGGCGCCGTGGTCGTACCCCCCCCCACCCCCCGCAAGATGATTTTCTTCCCTCCCACTTAGCAAGGATGATGAGGGCATTGGTTTACACTTACATGCAGGAACGACCCAGCCGCGGTGCGCCCAAACATTCAGCGGCTTGTTAAAGAACATGAAGCTCACGTAGCCTGGAAGCATGACTGTGGGCTGAAGATATCGGAGCAGCAGCAAGATTCAGAACATGATTGAGTCGCTGGACAAGCCTCGGCCGTAATTACTGACTACTTACTCATGCGTCGCAGTCGCTCTCGTCAATGTTCCCTAATTGATCCTGTGCTCACCTTTCGAAACCCGCCATTCCAACCCGCCATTCCACGACTTCCAATGTAATCGAGGAATGCACCGATGCAAAAGATCACAAACAATCTTGAAACCCCGATACTCCCGGCCTATGTACAAGCTGAACAGGATGGCGGCCTGCACAAGGGGTTTTGACACTCGCACTCGTACAAGCCCGCAAGAGGCTACGATTGTGCTGCAACGCCGGTGACATGCGCACATAGCCGACTGATGCCGAGCCAGAGATGAACGACCCCCATCAGACCACCATGACGAAACAGATGCCTTCCGCACGTATCCGGCCCGGCCTCCCACGCCTCTATGATCTGGTTGTAGGTGAACGTTGCCAGCACTGCTAGGGAAAAGATATAGTAGGAGCAATCCTTGGCCGAACTTTCAAGACCAGCATGCGTCTTACCAGATGGAAACAGTGGGGCCCCTTAGCACCGACATTGCCTGTCGGTTTTGCTGGTTGATGTGCGGGTGCATCAACTGGCCGGGGGATTCCATGCATTCGTGTCTTTCTCACTTCTCGAATTTTGGTCATCATAATGGTGTAGGTCAGAGTAGGGTGGCAAGCCCCAAGTCTCACTGTCTTTTGCTCGTCCCCCTTTCTCCCTGGATGAGCAAGAAGCCTGCATGGAAGCCTCGAAGTAGCGGAATTCGACCCCACCGAGTTGCCCGGAACAAGGGCCACCATGTGAGCTCAATGTTCCCCTTCGCCACGTATCCGCACCTGCCGCCAGTCACTCCACTGAGTTTGACTTGCACGAATTGCAATTGTTCAAGGCAAGAGACAAGCCGATGACGAAAAGCACGTTGAAGACCGCAGAACCCACGATAGTTCCGAATCCCACGTCATTCTGGGCCTTGGCAGTCTGAAACTAGGACGGCTCGCAAACCACTACGTGGATGCTGCACAGACGATACGGGACAGCCAGGGGCACCTGGCTGCCTTTTCAAGTTCTAGTTGTCGCAGAGCTGCAATGGTTGCACCAATCATGGAAGTGAAGAATTCTGGAGCCGAACCCCCCGCGGCCATCCATGTTGCCTCCACGAGGGATGCGCTAATGCAGGGCTTCGTCGCATGGCTTGTCTACGCCCTTGCTAGCCGGCTAGCCCAGGTTACAAGATGGGCACAAATGTTCGAATGTTACAACACGCTAAAACAAAGCCCTTGCACTTGGGTACCGCAAGCGATGATCTCCTTGCAGCCAAGCAACTCCTGCGACGTCGGGCGTCAAGCTCCAGGCATCACAGAGAACATCAATGGACCCAGCAAAGTAGACGTCGCAAACCGTGTTCAATCCCAGCACCATGTATGCCTCAGCATGGTCCAACGGTTCTCGTGATTGGGGCCAAACCGCTGCTGAGGTTGGTGCAATGCCAAGACAGTGCAAGAGAGCGAAGAATCTCTTCCCTTCCGGGCACTGTGAACTTCGGGCACAAACTCTCGGCATGCTGATCTTCATCCCTGCATCTCTTTCATAGCGCCTATTGGTTCTTCTCCATATGGCCGATCCAGGAACAAGTCTGGCGGATACAAACTTGGAGGATCCTGAGATCGCATCTCTCCGATCTCGCGCCAAAACCGGATCGCAGGCGCAACTGGTAAAATGAAGCTACCAAAAGCAAGTGCCACGATTCCGTTGCGGTGACATTGCCAGCTAGCCTTCGATCAACACCTGCAGTGTGATGCGCGATGCTTCGCTGTTGCGCACCATTGCGCACCGCATCCCCAGCACGGAGACGAGTCCAAGCCCTAGCGTGTGAGCGAGCTAGGTGCGACATGCACTCGGGCAATCGGGAAGCCAGGTTGCTAGGCGTCTCTCTGAACTCCTGCAATCAACACATGTCTTCATAAACAGTGGAAGCATCTGTATGGGGTGCTGATGGTGCTGGGCTCCCAAATCTCCCAAAGCAAGCCGCCCGATCCCGAAAGGGCTCCGGTCCTGGACAACGCCCAAGAGCGTCAAAGCCAATGCAAAGCCTTCGGAGCCCGGCCCGTCCGTCAGTTACTATACTATACTATATTATATTATATTATATTATATTATATTACATTATATTATATTATAGCATATCATATCATATTATATTTACTGGCAAGTTGCGGAAGAGATGAAAAGATGACCGGCCTAGTGAGCAAGCGGCATTGATCTTCCTTCTTTCGGATGGCTTCAAGCTCTGCAACAAGGCCTGCAAGGGCGAGACTTTCAGTGGGAGATCCGGTGGAGCCTTTGCAGACCTTCCGTCTGAAGCCCACGAGGCCCATGATGGGCAGCTAAGTCTCGGTAAATCCTTCCACGGGGTGTGGCGGTGTAAGCAAGTCCGATCAAGGAATAAAAGCAATGCTCGGTTCAATGAGGTGCTGCGGTCCGACTGTGAAACTGCCAGAGTTGTCCCAATGCAGTGGCTTTCCAGAGCACGGGGCTTCGCCGGCTCGATCAAGGCTTTGTGCCTTCTCTTTCCTTACACATCAGCATCTGCTTACTCTGGGCTCTGGGTCTCTGTCTTGCGGCATGCCCTCCGGACACTGCCTTTGCTCAAGGTCTACTCAGTAGACTAAGCAAGCTGTGCATGCTGTTCTGATGCTCGTTTTCTGCAAGAACTTTAAATCCTTTCAGGTTGTTTCTTTCCATTGCGAAACTGCGACCGGTTCAAGCATTTTCGACTGGACCCAGGCAAAGTCACTTCGCTGTGTTGCTTCTCAGTGGCACAGGATCTGCAGTGCAGGCCCCTCGGCTTGAACGCCGGGTGTCCCTAGCTGCGAGAACTCTGAGATCGGAGCCGGTGAACGGCTGCGCAGAAAAGGGGCTATGGCAATCTCTCAAACGTGAGCGAAGTCGCTGCCATCAGCGACATGACAGAGCAAGAATTCACTCAAGCGGCCCCAACCAGGGCCTCCCACGCCCGGCGCATCACCCATCAGCGTTTGCCCAGCGCCTCCTCCTCGAGCCTCGAAGGAAGACTTAGCAGCAGCCCTTCTTGGGAACGAGTTGTAGATGCTGCTTCAACTGGAATTACATGCTGCAAAGATGCATCTGCACAAAAGAGCCCCTTCCAAGTATAGTGCGGGACTCGAAATGCGCAGGGCAAGTTCCACAACATTCAGCACAAGACGAAACCGAGGACCTCCGCACAGCGCTTACCCTGCCCAGCTGACCCAGCACAGGATGTATCTCGAAAGAAAAAGCCAAGTCATGATGCCGGAACCACTACTTGATGCAGAGTCAGTCCCTCAACATTGCACAATCCACTGTCTCCTCGCTTGTGGGATCCGGCTGCCGCGAAAGATGCATGCATCATTTGGGTTAGGAAAGGACAATGCAGCACAACTGTCTGGCCCCGCTTGCAGCTGCTGATAGGTTTGCATTCAGGTCGCTGCAGAATCCACAGATGATGCGAACTTCGACTCCATGGCGCAAACTTCCTGTGTCTGCTTGTTGTTTATCACTAGGCCGCTGCCCTCTATTCTCCGCGAGTCCTCCGGTGGGGCGTAGAGGTGCGCAGCCGCTTCTTCCTGTGGCTGAAGTATTGAACTTCTACTTCACTCTACACTGTACAGGCAAGATATCAGAGGCCGATTTCCAGAGGCCTCGCGAAAGCTTCGCGTCGCAGGACCAGGCTTCTCGTCGTGCAGGAGGGGCTTCTTGCCAGCCGCCAAGTTCTGCCAGAGTGTCTCAAATATGCTGCAGGTTGCATCCTGTGCGGAAGAGCAACGCCCACCTCCAGCTCCAATTCCATGTCCCGTGCCTGGCGCTCACATCCGAGATCATCCGTATCGACGCGTGACTCTTTGGCAGTTGAGAAAGACACATCACATGACGCCTTCTTGACCCGGGTCTGGATAACAGCCACGGGGTCTCGGCAGCCTCCGAGTGGAGCCCGAGACAGCACTTGCGTCCCTGGCCAGGTCCCTGCCTGACATGGTCCCTGCCGAGATGACCCTGCGCTGGTCCACCTGCCGGGAGGTGTGACTCGGTGATTTTGGGGGTTCTTCTGAGAGGAGCTGAGCTGAGCAGCTCGCGGGGCTCATGGCGCGGAGGAGTTCCAGTGCCTACCCAAAGCTTCCGTCCAGGACGTCTGCTTCTCGAATTGTCGCGCCTCTCCGGCGAGCCATCTGTCATTGGACTTCACGAATGCCTCCAACTCCTGGCAAATCGGCAGCCGACGGCTAAGGATCGGAACCAAATGCCGAACTATCTGAACTGTTTACGAAACCTCGCCGTACCAGCTACCGTGGGCTGACACAGCGTCTTTTAGCCCTGCCCTGTGCACACCGATGATGCATGAGGCTCTGCCTCTGAAGTCGCAGGCCTAGCGTTTGCATCAGAATGCAGGAATCAGCTACTAGTATTCCAACACCATGCCATCAAACTGGACAAGGAACGTTTAAGTCTACAGTGGCTAGCACGATCGCGACTAAGTTGGGTCGCGGCCTGACCTGACCCACAAATATTCGGAATGCTGCTGATCATGGCGGTGATGTACGTCGCAGAACATGGTGTCACGATGGGTTGAAGCTGGGATGGTGGCGAATTGCAGTGAAGACTGCGAAAGAGTCCGAGGAACGAGCTTCACGAGCTTGCTCTCGAGTCCAAGGAGGGCCGCCTTCAGAGGCGTAACTAGCGCCAGAGACGGACTCAGGACAGGCCTCTTCAACTACACACGCAACGAGGTATAGCTCTAGGTACGGCGAGGTATAGTAAAACTCCAAGAGCGCCGACTGGGATGGCACCACCACTTCGGGCTGCAGCCTCCTCAAGCGCAAAATTGGAGCAGGCCGAACTCTTTGCTTCAACCTGGCCTCCAAATCCTTCGCCTTACGTACCCGTGCCTCTCGAGGACAGATAAAAAATGTCAAGCCACCAGGAAGAATCGAAGCTGGCCTGTAGAACAGCTATCGGGTTCTGCACACTTGACATGCTTCCGGCGCAAATGACCTTGGCGAGCATATGGATCACAAATGTTGCCATGCGGGCGTCTCGAAGGGTCCAGGCCCTCCTCTGGTCCACAGCGTTCATGCTCCGCAACACCTAAAGCTGTTTTTCAAAGCAGCCACAAGCTTGAATAAAACCCACCAGCCATGCCTTCTCTGCGTCATCTGGCAGCCAGCGCTTGTTATGGAGCATGAACGCCTCTACGCAAAACTTGTCAGAGTTTGCAGCAAATCCGAACTCCGTGGAGACCTCGACCTCTTCGATCGTTGCAGGCTTTACCTGTACTTATGAAGCAAACGTGCTTGCAAGCTGCTTGCAACCTCATAGATCGCGTGACCAGCCTCTTGGCTGCTGGCCAGCTTGGGCACGCTCGCAGCACCCACCTTTATTAGACCGGCGAAGACTCCAGACATATGGGGAAGCGTTGGGATGGTTTCGAACATAAATGGCTGTCGAAGGTCCTAACCAGGAAGGTTAACCAGTTGGCTCTTCCTTTTTGTGTTGCCCCCAGGTACTTGTTGTTTTAACCTCAAGCTTGCCAATCTGCGAAGGGCAATGTCTGGGCTCACCCGTCTTCACATGCCTCAATTGCGGCTTGTGGCGCAATCTCACTTCGTCCTTTCCATTCTTTCGGGTCACTGGGCCGGGTGCTTGCCAAGGTCAAGAAATCCCTGTCCCTGATAGTGACAGTCGATCCCTCATCGTACATTTTGTATGTCACTCTTCGACAGTCAATCGGGACATTTGTGCTGTCAAAAGTCTTGGAGGCTTCGATTCGAGGATCGAAGGTTTCCTTTTTCTGTCTTGACGTGCCGGACAAATTTCAACTGTGGCTCATTCACTTCCCTTGCGTCATACGTGCAACCATGAGCATTGGTGATGCCCTGTGCCGCAGCAATCAGGGCACCGATCTGAAGATAATCAAACGAGCTGTCATGCAAATCCGACACGCACAGCAAGCTTCCAATGCACCAAGCTGCTCCGTTCCCGACAACACATCAGTCAAGCAACTTGCCGTCAATCTCGCCACATCTCCCGCGGTATGCGGAATAAGAGTCGGTGTCAGCTACACCGACAAACAAGGCAAGATAGTCTCGGGCCCATCATCAAGCGTTTCTATCCACTCATGACTCCAATCACGATTACCTCCATGAAGACTCATCATCGTACCATTCCTGTTCCCGATTCCTATCCTGATTCCATCCTCCTTGATGAATGTCCTGTTGGTTATCATCATCGGTCACTGCCGACATTTTCCCTTAGCACACTCGACTCCAGAGGCTCGTGTCACCACAAACAACCTTGTCCCTTTGAGTGTCCTTGATTCCTTTTCTTCCTTTGCACACCATTTTTGCACTTTTTGCACACTTTTTTTTCCAGGCAGAGCTGGATTTTCGGGAAAATAATGTTTTCCCTATTGAAAATGCGAAAAAAGTGTGAAAAATGCAAAGAAAAGTGCACATGGCCTCGCCCCCAGGGTTCGGGGCCCCTTTTGCAGCTGAAACTGAACCGCGATGAGCACTCGAATGACTCAGTGAGCTCCCTGAGATTGAGAATGTCATCGTCGGAACTGTCGGCACCCCAAACTTTTCCGAAGGAGTGCATGATTCAGACTGGCTGGTATTGCTCGTCAAGGCCGAGCGAAGGTTGTACTTGTTGCTGGCATTGGCTAGCTTTCAAGCCGAAAACCAATCCCCAAAACTTGCGCAACATTCAACTAAATTTCGTTGATTTTCTTTGCTTCTTGGACCCGGCTTGTGCATGTGTTGCTGACGCCGGCTAGCTTTCGAACCGGAATCAGTTCCCTAAACTCACGCATTGTGTTGATTTTTCCGTGGTAACTTGGGCGGGTCCAGGAGCGGTTTTTGGAACCAGCTTGTACGCTTGTTGCTGCTTTCAGGCCGGAAATCAGTCCCAAAACTCGCGAAAAAAAACAACCAAATTTGGCTGGCTTTTATGTGGTCATTTCGACGGGGTCCAATGAGTGTTTTTTGAACCCGGCGTGTGCACTTCTTGCTGGCGCTGGCCAGCTTTCAATTCCCAAAGCTCGCGCAAAAAATCAACTAGATTCTGTTGACTTTCCTGCTAATTTGGGCGGGTCCGGGAGCGTCTTTTGGATCGGACTTGTGCACTTGTTCCTGACGTTTGCCAGCCCCGAAGCCACAGATCAGTCCCCAAAACTCGCTGGACACGGCACCCCCGTCGCCGGCGACGGACACGGTGCCGACTGCCTATGGCGGTGCGGCGGCGGACATGGCGCGCCCCGCTTTCATCCCGCTGCACCCCCTTCGCCGGCGGCGGACGCACCCCCAGGACACAGCACGCCCCACCTGCGCTGCACCCCCGTCGCCGGCAGCGGACACGGTGCCCCCCCACCTGCATGCCGCTGCCCCCTGCGGCGGTGGTGGACACAGCGCGGCCCCTTATTTAGCTAGACCCCCTAATAGCTAAGGCTATCTAAAGAATAAAGGCAGAAAAATAACTTTTGCCACCGAAACTTGTAGTTGATGACTTTCGGCACGGCCTTCGTTGCGGCCGTGGACATGGCACCTCACAGGGTGAAGAGGGCCAACATCCGCCTTTGGCGCCTTCGCCATGTGCTTGGAACCGAGCCTTGTGAATCGGATTCTGCACCCGTAGCTGGGCATTCCAAGCGTCAGGGCATGGTTTCAGCCGCTTCTTGCTTCAGAAAGCTTGTGTGCCATCGTAGTCAGTCACTACAGCGTCGTGCAACGAGTGGTTGTGTTCTCGCTCGAGCCGACAGTTCTCCAAATTCCACACGCAAAAGCTCGGCAATCGAAGCAGATGCTGTTACTGCATGGTACAGACAGACACAGGCAAACGAATAAGACAGAATGCTCGCCATGTTTGTCGCTCGGCCCGCTCGGCTTGAGTTGTTTCTTGGACGGCACTCCGACAGAGGCCTTCTGCCAAACCGGATCGATAGGGAGCAAGGCAGCCCCGGATCCAGCGAAAACGATCCTGTCTTCTTTGCAGTTCCCACGCCATCCTGCAAAAAAAACTTGGTCCAAATCTCTTCTTAGCTAAAGGTACTGGAAACGAGGAGGAGCACGTGGGGCATCAGTGAAAAGACGGGCCAAGAGCCCACTCAGCAAAGGTTGAATCGCACCCTATTGGTGCTTGGAGCTTCAGCTCCACACTACCGTTTGTAAGATGCCCCAAGCCTCGAGTGGATTTTTTTCTGCCAGCGCGCTAGGTAGCTATAGGTAGCTCAAGAACTAGGTCAAACAAGCGCGAAAGACCAGGGCATTTCGTCGCCTGAAGCTGCAAACAATGCCCTGCCGCAGCAGGACATCCAGGGAAAGATTAGCAACAGGAAGTAATGACTAGGCATTGTGCGATATTGACATGATCCATTTCTCGAACTGATTTCTGTCATCCGAGGCAGCACATAACAGCTTCACCAAAGTAGGCTGCTATATGCCACCATCGCGTTTAGCGCTTTCAAAACTGCGTACCCATGCGGCATAATGGCATAGTCGTGCTTTGAGCAACCTCAAGAAGCAGGGTTACTATTTCAGCCAGTCGCGTGACAGTGCATGCTCAGTTGCTGAGGCACCTGCTTGAAAGAGCGATAAACCGATTCCAACGTTCCTGCGGGACACCATTCACAGGTACATGTGTCCATCGCCCTTTGCTGGTTTGTAGGTGATCTTGCGAATAGATGCATCTACACACATCAGGTGCACGTTCATCTATGCCTCATGTGACTCTCTCAAGACTCCAGGCCCCGGCCTGGTGTCCCAGCCTGCCCTAGGTGAGGGCGGCTTAGCTCAGCCCCCAATTGCCCAAGATCCTGCAGGAGATTTGGCATCCGGTGCAGATCTCAGCGGCTCAACTACCTTAGGCACGCACCCGAATAAGCCTTTTTTCTTGTCAGCCTCTCAGCAGCAATGTGATGCAGGTTGTGCTTCGCAGTGATGGTATGCCCCGGGCCTGCACGGCATCATTTGCAATCGAAGCTGCCAAAGCATCTATCTCAGCCTAGGTTGACGAAGGCATCTCGAATCCACACTGCTGGATAACTCAAGTCTTGCATCTGGGCTTGCTGCAGTGTCGTTTTGCTTCTTCTCGCCCGGCGACTTTTTAGTCTTCTTCTTGGCCTTCATCGAACCAAGCAACTTGAACTTGAACGTGAGTGCAAGTGTTGAGCTCCTACGATTTCGCACCTTCGCTGCTGCCTTGCTCTTTGCTCGTGGCTTGCTCTTTGAGTCCTCTGCCAGAGCAGCTTGATCACCGCAATGCAAGCATCAGCAAAATGAACTGCCAGTTTCTGGGAACGTGATGTATCAAGCAAGCTCATCTTCTGGATTCTAGAGGCAGAGCCTATCCAAGCAGTCTGCTCTCCCATGCTGCACAGCTTAACATTGAAGCTGTTCCTCCTCTTCGTCCTCATCGCCTGGGGACTGTTCTCCAGCCTTTTGCAGGCGACACGCAAGGCAAGATTGCAAATGTCCGAGACCCGCCCGTAGCAATTGAATCCGATGTTGCCAACAACCCTAAACTCCTAAACCCTAACCCCTAAACCCCAAATTGCCGACCAGCTGCGACTTCAGATGTGGCTTCAGCTTTCTGCGGGGGTGCGGAAGGCTCCGAGTCTGCCTGTCAGGAGAGTTGGATCTTGCGACCCAATGCGGCCTGAGATGGGTATTATAATAGATGTATATTATAAATATGCTATAAATGCTATAAATATGTATATATATATGTGTGTGTATGTATATTACAGCTATATATTATAATTATATTTATTTTATAATTCTGCCCTGTGAGGCCCTGAGGCCTTGAGCTCGCCGCCGGCGTCTTCGGCCTCGGCCTCGCTCTGAACCGGAACCGGTGCTGGCACCTGGCAGTGTTTCCGGTAAGAAAGTGATAGGGTTTTAGGGGTCAGGGTTTATTTTGACACCTCTTTTCCGTCACCCCGTTTAGGGTTTAGGCTTTAGGGTTTTAGGGTGAGCTTGGCCTCCGCCGGTCTTACCGGCTCTTCAGCCTTCGCTGGCTTCGCTGGCTTCTTGACCGGCTTGGTGGGTGCCTCCTGGCCGAATGCTGCGCTAAGCTGAGACAACGAAGGGCTCGAAAAAATGCCAGTGCGACGAGACGAGAGTCCCTCGAGCTGTGGAACTTTGTAGATCCCCCCTCTTAAGCACATCGCTTCTGCTACAAGCCTCCACTATTCGTCACCTGAGATTTGAGGCTTGGGTTCACAGGCAAGCTGGGTGAGTCGTTTCAGTTGCAATAAGGTTGAAGATGTTCTGGGCGGCATGGAGTGCAAACAACCAAGCAGAAAATGATGAGTGTCGAAGCGGGCTTTAAAGTGAAGCTCAAGGGCAGGAACATCAGGCTTCCAAAGCTACCCGTGTGTAGAACCCCCTAAACCCTAAACCCAAAGCCCTAAACCCCCTTTTGAACGAGGTTAAACCCAAAGCCCTAAACCCCCTAAACCCTAAACCCCCCTAAACCCTAAGCAACATGCTTCGGTGCCGGCCTCTGCCTCGACCTTGCAAACTGGTTGCCCATGGTTCAGCAGCTTGGCGTCGATCTGACATGCCAGGCACTGGCACTCTCTGCGAATACTTGGGGGGCTTATTTTAGGGTTTAGGGTTTAGGATTTCGACTCACACACTCGCGCAAGCAGGCATGGCAGGTACGGCTCCATGACAAGCAATGGACACAATGCTCTATAAGAAGGATCTTACTGTCTAGGCTCTGCACGAGGGTGTTTTTGTCAACTCCCATGCACTGGCTTTGCCTCCTGGACGGTCCGATCCATTTCTTCCACCTGCAGAGTGTTTTAGGGCATTGGCTGGGTGCATCCCGCACATAGCAAACAGATTAGCCAGGCACCGTAGCCAAGAGCTCGGATTTTCTGCCCACCTTCCATGATTCTTGCCAAACCTAGAGTGCACAGGGTTACGGACAAACCCGCGTTAGCGCAGCCTTTTCTTTTACTTCCGGCAGCAGCTCGGCAAAGGTTTGACCTCTCTCTGCCATTTTCGCCTCGCAGGAAACCGCTGGCTTCCGGTTTCAGGTGTTAGCTCTAAGGAGGCCCTTTTGTTAGGGTTCCTTATTATGGTTCATATATATATATATATGGCATCACAGCCTCGATTGCATCAATCTCCTTGATCTTCTTGAGGGTGTTTTTCTTCTGCTTCTGGCAGGCCTCACAGTGCAACGCCAGGCACTGCTACAGCAAGACCTGTCTTGTGCTCGTGATATCTCTGCATCCTGAGACTATAAAAATCTGAGCTTCGTGACCTGCTTCTTCTCTTCAAGGGCCTGCGCGGGAGGAGCGGGAGCAGCCTTGTTTTGTCAGGGAATAGCCAACTCCCAAAGCTGTTCCCCTGTCTGCTTGACAGGCCATAGCCTTCATGTTCACATGAGTTGTGAACACTCTCCTCTAGTAGGCAGTTTATTCGAGAGAAGCTGCAGCATCACAGTCCCTGCGTGTTGTTTACTCCAACTCTAGCCGCAGCCGATCCCAAACACCCTATTTCTACATTGTTGGAGCCCGCAAGGATGGCCCATCCTTGCCAGTCGCCTGCTTCTCTGCCTCGAGGGCAGCGGCAGCAGCAGCCGCAGCGGCGGCTGCCTCCTCGGCAGCGCCTGGCAGGCTTCTCTGATAGTCTTTATCTATCTGCGCATTGTCAACCCCCGAAGAAGGAAAGAGAAAACAAGACTTCTTTCGGGCTCTCTAGTATGAAGCTTTCAAGAAATTGAGATCCTGATTGTCGGGCATTGTGAGGACTCTGGGAGGCTAGGCTGACTCAATCTACGCAGAAGTTCTTGGATCCCGACGCGCAGCTGCGACCTCAGGGTCCTGCAGGACAGTTGGAGCGACTGGTGGCGAAGGGCTTCGCAAACATCTCGGCGCGTGCCTCCTCTTCTTGGACCTCCTCTGCCTCTCCTGCATTCCATACAAGCGCTACACGTTGCATGGACAGCTGACCCAGCAACCCTCCTCTCTCAGTCATTCTCAGAGCTTGGCCGGCTTCGATTTCTTTTTCCTCTTCTGCCTGCGAGCTAGTACACGCAACATCAAGATGCATAAGACACATCAAGCACCAAGTATGAGCTCCCGATCGAGTCTGTGCATCTACACCGATGCTCGCACGACATCTCAAGTCAACCACCTCCACCGCAGGTGCCACCTCCTCTTCAACCTGACATGTGAATGATAGGACTGAAATCAGCGTCAAACCGCGCTGTCAATTTGATGGAGGTTTGTTGGCTTGTCGCAATTTGATGTGCGTGCTACCATGCGTGAGTTTCGCATCTTGCATAGGGTTGGCTCGAACTACCAGCCTGGACAGGGGCCTCTTCCACCACGGGCTCCTGCCACATAATTACTGCACAATCTGCGGACAAAGGCTCCGACTCACATCAAATATTATCAGATGCCCAAAGGTCACCAAACAGAGCTAGAAAGAATGAGCAAACAGATGGACATCTCTACTTTCTCAGAGCCCTGAGGCTGAAAGCCACAGTCGGGCATACTGATGATGAACTGCCGAAGTCACTTCACCGCAATTGTCTAGAAGCTAGAAGTCTGGTCTTGTAGATAGCTTCCAGCTGAAGCTTCGGACCTTTGAAGCTTGCTCACCCTTGCAATTTGCATCTGTTAAACTTCCTTCTGCTTTCTCTCCATTCAGCTCACAATGGTCCGTCCACACGGCTGATTTCGATGTCCCTGACAGGCTATGTTGCAATCACCCTTGGCTTCGGCATTGTTCTGAACCGTAAACTCTGGCGAGGTCTTTCAGCAGGAGGCTCCAGGTGCAGTGAGGTCGGTATCTTAGAGTGTCAAGAAGGGGCCGTGTCCTGCTCCTGTTCCTCCTGCTTCTGGGCCTCCTGCTCGAGATCCTGGCAGGGCTATGGATACCACGTCCCTGCGAAACTCTTGCAGAAGCCTCCGCCAAGCGTTCCAGTTCGGTCACAGTCTGCTCCAGCTCTGCTTTGCGTTTGATCCTGGTTGGGCACACGCAAGAACTGTTCATGCTGTGGAGAATACTGCCCAGGTCTCCGTTTTGCGGGCCAGCTTGTGCAATATGACCGTGGATCTCACTTTGGCAACTGGGGCCGATGCTTCTCCTTCTGATCGTCAGTCAGATGGGAATATTTCACCTGAGGCGCCACACGAAAAAGACTGTGGCACATCATCACGACAATGAGAAACGTCTGCCGAGTATGTTCGTTAAGAAGTAGCTTCTCTCTCCTCCCGGCCTGCTTTGCAGTCAGCTGTGCCTTCCGAAGCATCACAAAGGGAAGCTCAGCAGACTCGCCGAAAGTCTTTGCAAGTCTTCCGCTCTCGCGTCTTACATAAAGTACCATCTGTACACTCCGCGGCACAGTGGGACAAGCCATGCCAAGCCGGGCAAGAGAATTGTCCTTCAGACACCCTGCCGGGTCTGCACACGGCTGGCCACTCCCACGCAATAAGTAGATCAACTGTACAAGCTCTCGAATCAGAAAGCTGCGACTATGCGCAAAAAGTATCAAATAATTTCGGCGAAGCTAGAATCAGCGAACCGCTGAACTCTACTAAGACTCTACTGTGCCACGCTATCAGAATGTTTGTTCAGCTGGCCAGGCACTCACGGTCGTCTCTGCAGCTTTCTTCTGACGCCATTTGTTGTAGACAGGCCGGCCGGCGATGACAGCGTGTTTGGACAGCACACAGCTGCTCCCGCAGCAGCCTACAAGAAGGAGCAATACAAGGTAACTGTTCAGAACAAAGGGCAAGGTCGTGGTGGCGACCGCGGAGGAGGTCTCATCAAACCACAAGCAGACGCTGTTGATGCAATACCGGAGTCCTGTGCTCGGTGGGCCGTCGTCAAACACATGCCCCAAATGGGCTCCACACTGACTACAATGAACCTCCGTGCTCCCAAACTGCAAGAGGTCTTTTCTGTATCCGATAGCATCTGCGACGGGCGCATCATAGCTCGGCCAGCCAGTTCCAGAGTCGTACTTTTCCATTGGCGTAAACAGAGGCGCACCGCAGCAAGCGCAGCGATAAACGCCATCTGCGTCGCGGGCAACCTTGCGGTTGTGCACACCGGTAAAGGGCCGCTCCGTACCACCTGCAGCGCAGACCTCAGCTTGTAGGATTCGTGGCCGAACTGCACTAGTTATTATAGTATCTGGCGCTATCCCAACTTATTTATCGTCCAAGGGCCTGTTCGAACAACTCCCGGCCATCGGGGATCGGTCGACTGTGGTTGCATTGCTGGGTGTCCATCCACGTTGCCTTGCTTCCAAGGATATCCCAGCCGCCAGCCGAAACGGACCTTAAGGACAAATAACTCAAACCAAGGAGCAAAAGAACAGACCTAGCCAGTTGCCGTCACCATCGTCGTCCTAGCCGTAGTCGTAGTCGTAGTAGTA